ATCTTCATTACCCCAGAAAGTCATGGCTCTTTGCAGTCAGTACCCCAACAACCTTCATTTATTCTAGAAAGCAGGTAATATGATTCCTAGCACTATAGACAGGGTTTTCTGTTCAAGAGTGTTGTATAAGTGGAATCATATGGCCTGTATTCTCTTGTGCATGACTTCACATTATCATCTGCATTAGTTTCTACCTGTTTATTGTTCAACTATGTACATTTAGCTATTGCTGCACAACAAATTATCCCTATACTTAGTGATTAAAATAAATATCTATCATCTCAGTATCCGTGGGTCAAGAAACTAAGCATGGCTTAGTCGGATGCTTCTACCTCAAGGTCTCACACAAGACAAGCAAGGTGTTGACAAGGCTGCAGTCTCACGTAAGGGTTCAATTAAAGGAGAATCCACTTCCTAACTTGCAAAGTTGTTGGTAGGATTTTGCTTCTCATGGACTTTTGGACTGAGGACCTTATTTCCTCTGGCTGTTCACTTGTGATAGACTGTTTGTAATAATAAACAATAGGTTCTTATAAATGATAGTGTTATCACAAATTCATGCAGAGATCAGGAGTATCACAGTCTGAGGCCAGCCCACGCAGCTAGTTCCCAAAACCCTATCTCAAAAATAATCAACACAGAAAAATGAGCTGGTGGAATGGCTGAAGTGGTACAGTGCCTGCCTAGCAAGTGTGAGGCCCTGAGTTCAAACCCTAGTATAGTAAAATAAAGAAGTAAGTAAATAAATATTATAAGCTCAGCTACATTAACATAATATAGGGAAATTATCATCAGATTAATGTATAAGAAATACACGAAATTTTAATTATTCAGTACTCTTGTTCATTAATTTAACTTTGGGTTTTTACAAAACTACTATCTACAATGCATATAGGATTGTAAGTCAGCTTTTGTTTTTCCATATAAACATTATAGATCCAAAAATAGTACCACTACTATAAGTGAAGTCAACAAAGGACAAAAAACCCCATACAATCTCCCACAAAACACCAAACAAAAAAACCTTAGAAAGGGTGCTCATTCCAAAAATGGTTTCTTACATAAAACTAAAACTCAATGAATAAAAATAAAAGCTGGATCAATTGTACAGACAGCCTAATAGGCCTAGGAAACAAGTTATTGAAGGAAAAACCTCAAAACAAACTTTGCCATTTACAAATTGACCTATATTTAAGTTTATCTGGAAAACAGTTTGTCACCCCCCCCCCCGTGGTGGACTGAAATTTGAACTCGGAACTTCATGCTTGCAAAGCAGGCACTCTACCAGTTACTCCTCCAGTCCATTTTTGCTCTGTTTATTTTAAGATGGGAATCTCTTGAACTGTATGCATGGGCTGCCTTTGAACTGTGATCCTCATCTCAGCCTTCCAAGTAGTAGAATTATAGGTGTGAGCCACCAGCACCTGGCTAACAGCTAAGTTTTAACATTGAAAATTTTTTAAAAAGAAAATGTCTTTTAGGCAGGTTGATGTTTTGCCTTCATGTCCCAGTGAATTGCTAGAATATGTATGTGTCAAGTTCAAAGCATCTGAAAATTCCATGGTATGATTTTCATGTACAAATATTTTTGTAGAGGTACATTTTCATTTATTTTATGTAAATACCTAAGAGTAGAGTTGGTGACTACTGTAATAAGTGCATGTTTGAAATTTCAAGAAACTGCCAAATAATTTCCCCCAAATGGTTGAATATTTGAAATTAACATCTGTGAAAAAATTACTGACAGCAAAATCTGAAATTCCAGCTCCTCCACATCTTCAGCAATGTGTAACATTATTAGTGTTTGTAACTGTAATAGTTCTTCTCCATGTATAGTGGGTAATATATTTTGGCAGTAGTGTGGTTTGAACTCAGGGCCTTACACTTGCTAGTCAGGCACTCTACCACTCCATGACCCCAGCATATTTTTTGCTTTAGCAATTTTTTATAGTTGTCCCAGACTGACCTCAGACCACAACCCTCTCCTATCTATGGCTTCCCATGTAGCCGAGATTGCAAATGCGTATCACCACACCCAGCTTATTGTTTGAGATGGGGTTTCACTAACATTTTGCCTGAGCTGGCTTTGAACTACCATCCTCCAGAGTAGCTGGGGTAAGAGGTGTGGGCCACCCCACTGGGCCTATAATGGTTATTTTAATATAGTTTTGTTTTGCAGTTCCCTGAGGACTAACAATGCTGAGCATCTTTTCACGTGCTTATAAGCAGTCTGCATTTCAACTGTTGTGAAATTTGTATCCACATATTTAGTACATTTTCTTGGGTTGTTTTGTCTTATTTTGAGTTTTAGGAGTTCTTTATGTTCTGCTGTTGACTATAAGCATTGTGAGTATTTTACTCCAATCTTTAGCTTACTATTTCATTTTCTTGATGGAGTCCTTCAAAGAGCAGAAGTTTTAAATTTTATTGAAGTTCAATTTTACAATAATTTTCTTCTGTGACTCATGCTTTTTTTTTGTCTAAGAAATCTTTTCCTACTTCAATATTATAAGGATTTTCTCATACGTTTTATTTTAGAAGTTTTATAGTGTTGGATTTTTTAACTCATGTCTATGATCCATTTCAAATCAATTTTTGTGTATGATGTAAAATAATGCCCAAGGATCCCCAGTGAGATATCTTGGCACCTGAGTTGAAAAAGCTGATACAGATGTTTGGGCCTATCTCTGAACTTCCTATTCTGTTCTATGGATCTATACTTCAATTCTGCACCTAAGACCACTGCTTTGGTCTCTGTAGTTATATCTTACTATGACATAATGTGAATCCTCAAGCCTTGTTCTTCATTTGAAATTTTTCAAATCAATTTTAAGTCCATAGAAATATTGGGGACATTTCATCAATTTCTACAAAGATGCCAGGTAGAATTTTGATTGATTGCACTGAATCTAAAGGTCATTTGGGAAATGATCTTGATATCATAATATATTAACAATATTAAGTATCCTCACTAATATCCATGAATAATGGTATATTCCTATATCCATTTAGATATTTTTCCTTTTTCTCAACAGTATTTTGTACTTTAGTATATATACATGTTTTATACATATTTTGTTTGCCCTATCACTAAGGTCCTTGTGGTACTGTTTTGGTCCTGATTTTATTTTAATTAAAATTTTCATGAATTCAACTATGATGTATTATAAGAACTTTTGTAAATGTCACAATGTACCCCCAGTACAAGAATAATATGATAATAAAGTAGATAAATAAAAAATTCAGTTGTAATTTCAATTGTTTACCGCTAGTATGTAGAAACGTGATTGAGAGTTGGATATTGGTCTTGCATCCCACAAGCTTACCATACTCATTTATTAGTTCTAGGAGCTATTTTTGTACACTCTAGAATTTTCTTCATCAAAAAATCATGTCATTTAAAACCAGGTGCCAGCAGCTCATGCCTGTAATCCTAGCTACTCAGGAGGCAGAGATCAGGACAATTCGGGTCTGAAGTCAGCCCAGGGAAATAGTTCCTGAGACCCTATCTTGAAAATACCTAACGCAAAACAGGGCTGTCAGAGTGGTTCAAGAGGTAACGTGCCTGCCTAACAAGCCTAATGTCCTGAGTTCAAGCCCCAGCAAAATAAAATAAAACAAATCATGTCACTTGCAAATAAAATGCACTGTTGAATAGGATATGCTACCCTGTTTGCAATGTTAGTTTTTTACTACTAGTTAAAACATCTGTAGTTTTCTCACAGATTCTTTTTTATCCTTGGGAAAGTTTGCTGAAATTCTTTAAAAAAAATTAATGGATTTTTGGTGGGAGGGGGAAGTGGGGACCAGAGTTGTAGGATGACGTAATCGTCACGTGATCAGTAGCTGCCAGGGCCCTAGTCCTTACGTTCCCAGGATTCTTTTTCCTCTGGGTACTAGCTCGTTACTGCCCTGCAGGTTTGCATGCTGTGGCCAGGAAGAGGAAGAGGAAGAGGTAAGTTCCTTACATCCTAGGAGGCTGGTGTGCAGGAACGGTTGGGACTCCTGGGGTGGTAGTGGCTGAATGTAGTGACTGGAATAACTCTGGCTTGCTTTTCCCAAATCTCTGTACATTGATGGTAGATAAATGTACATTTTGAATGAGAGGGCCGGCGGCACATGGAAGCCTTCAAAGACACCCAGCGATTTAGTGATAGTTAACAATTAGCTTCTCTTATCCTGGAAACCTTTCTTTATCCTTCTCCGTGTCTTTCCCCAATTTGTTGGAGAAAATGCTAGGTGTGGAGTGTTGGTTGGTGAGTGAAGAAAGACTGAAATTTTGGGATGGGGACAAGAGAAATTTAGAGATAATTTGAAAATAGTTTGCCTTATTCAATGCCGGCCTGCAGTGGTGGGGCGGCGCGGGACGGGGGTGGGGGTGGGAGATGGTGGGCCTTATAAGGACCAGGCCTGAGGGGCAGGGGTGGGATGAGGAAGGGTTTGGGAACAGAAGGGAACCAGGCAGTAGGAAATTTGAAGCGACTACAGTGATCATATTCCCAAAGACAACGTGGGTCTGGTCTCTGGGACAGATTGATCCACAGAGAATTCCATCCTCCCGCCCCCTTCCTTTTGTTTGCAGGTCCAAGTGTCTGTGTTCGCAGACACCTCGGAACAAGAATAAAGCGGAAAACTACCCGCATAGGTCTGTATGAGGGAGGCATTTAGGCAGAAATTTCTGGGATGAGCGTTGGAAAGGGCAAAAGCTGGATAAAATTTGCGGCTTCACGGTCCACCACCAAAGCTGCTCCTCTTCTGACCCTTAGAGAGGCCATTAGCCTTGTCTGCTAGTGAACTGTTGTGGTGTAGTGGGGTGGGGGAGGCGGAAAGGATAGGGGGAGGGAGCCAAGCCATTTCCATATTCTTAAGGCTGGGCTTGTGGAGCGATGTGGAAGATGAGCAGTATCTTGCCTTAAAGAGAAACTGACCACTCTGATTCAAAAGTAATGAAGCAATCCATCTCTACCTTTTCTCCCTGGAGTTAAGCAAGAAACAAGATCATGCAAAAATCCTGTAAAGAAAATGAAGGAAGGCTCAAGTGCAGTGTACCCAAGAGGGAAAATGAACACTGCTATGGAGAGCTTGAAGGCCAACAAACGGAAGGGAATTTTAGGCAGAGGCTGCTTCAGTCTCTGGAAGAATTTAAAGAGGACATAGACTATAGGCATTTTAAAGATGAAGAAATGACAAGAGAGGAAGATGCGATGGAAAGGTGTTTGGAAGAGATAAAAGGTCTGAGAAAAAAATTTAGGGTTCTGCATTCTAACCATGGGCATTCTCCCATTTAGTACATTTTCCTGAAATCATTTCTTTTCTGGTATTAGTACTGCCACTGCTTTCTTTTGATCTACATTTTTTTCTAAATATTTGCTATTATTTTACTCCAATTCTTCAATATTGGTTAGATTTACATGACTCTTGTTGCTAACATCTCATCATTTGATTCAGTCTCACTCATTTATTAAGGGGTCTCATTCATTTATATGAGAAGATGCTCATATCATCATATATTGTAAAGTAAAAACAACAAGCTTCAAAGCAGTATGTGTATATTCATATATATGTGTACCTTATATGTGCATTTATATATGACATCTTGCAATGCAAAATGCCTGAATTATTATACACCAAAGGTTAACAGTGAGTCTCTGTGTGATTTGTACTTTATTTCTTTTTTGCCCATTTGCATCTTCTCATTTTCCAAAAAATGAATATATGTTTGTGTTTGTATATTACTTATGTTACACAAAAAGAGAAAACTAGACACGATGAAAGAGCTTGTCAATCACTTTTGGAAGGCAGTAAAACACTTAGTAAACTCTTAGTAACAGAAGGATAAAAAAGAAATGTAAACCTCAAATTACCTCTGAATCTCTTAGCCAGAAGAATAAACTGGCAATTACATGACAGACACGTTTAAGACTCTGTGTTTTCATGGGGAAAATATTTGACTCACAGGGTGCTCTTGGGAGAAACTGCTGTGAGGCAGTGACACTGAGCTTTGTTTGGTGAGGCCTTGTTTTCACCTGTGCAATACAGAACCCCAGCCTGCTATAGAACCATCAATGTATGAAGGAGGGCCTGGTGATTCAGCCTGTGGTTCAACCTGTGCTCATGAACAAGTCCAGTAGGCAGAGGTGGGGGCTTCCATGCCAGTCCTCTGCTTTTGAGTGCTTGTCTCTCCTGCATTCCTCCTGGGTCTTTTGCTCTCTGCTGCCCTCCTAATACTGCTGGCGCACTGGGGACCTTGAATGCCAAAATCTCACTGAGTTTCCTGGAGTCCCCAGTTAATTAAACATCCACTATCTTCACAAACTGCTTTATAGAGACACAATGGGTGGGACTTCTCTAAGGTTGCTGGGGCCACAATGTCTTGTACAACACAACAGCTCCTTTTGTTTTCAATTACAGGACCCTTCATCTCCATCAGAGTCTGGAGTGAAGGTACCAGTTTGAGTGAACAATATCATGCCCTAGTCGCAGTCACTGCTCTTAAGTCCAAGAAGTAAGGTTTGTCCTCCTCTTGTGAGAAAAATCTGTCCCTGAAGGCTACTGGAAGGCCTTCAAGACACTCACAGGGGACATGTATAAATTGCAGAAAGTGATACAAGGAACAGATCTAAGGGAATAGTCTCCTGTTCTCCATCCCACCCTTTCCTGAAACATGTAAAAATGCTCTGTAAAACTAATATCATATATTTGTGTACCTGTCTGTACATATATATGTCATATAAGACATATACCAATATATAAAAACTAATATATATTACACATATATTACTTATAAGACACACGTGTATGTATATACATATACATATGTAAGCATTATTTCTTAATTGAACTTTCTGCATTCTGCACGTCATAGTAAAGACTATGTAATATTATTTCATTATATTCCCATTTATTAGTTCTGTGATTAACATGTAGTGGGTACTTAATAAATGCTTATTTAATTAGAATTCTAGCATCCAGTTTTACTTCTGATTAGGTATAATTGGCAACAAATCTACTTCTGTAAACTATAACACACATCTTCAAAAGAACCCAATGGAAAGGAATCATTTTCTCATATTCAATCTGAAATTATGTTCTTTTTTTTTTTTTCTTTTGGAAGTACTGGAGTTTGAACTCAGCCTCGTGCTTGCTAGGCAGGCGCTCTTTATGGCGTTTTATAACTGGTGTCTCTCAGAAAAGTCACTTTCTTACATTATGACCATCTGAAGAACTTATTTAAAATACAAAATGCTGACACTTCCCCATACACACGCATACTCTTATAAACACACTGAATCAGAATCTCTGTGCATTTGGCCCAAGAATACTCCATGGTGGTGTTCCCATAAAATTATACTGTCAGCTGGGCACTGGAGGCTCATGCCTATAATCATAGCTACTTAGGAGGCAAAGATCAGGAGGATCATGGCTTGAAACCAGCCCAGGGAACTAGTTAGCGAGACTACCTGGAAAATCCCCCAAACAAAAATGCCTGCCTAGCAAGTATGAGGCCCTGAGTTCAAAACTCAGTACTGCCAAAAAAAAATCATGTTCTCACCTCTTGTCTCAAAAACCCTTGTCATAGACCATTTTTTAGCTAAGCTGAGCACAGGGACTCTCCTTTACCATCAAAGACCCTACTGGTTTACACTTCATAATTAGGGGCTTCTAAAAGTCAAAGTGGTGATTACTATAGCCTAAACATTCTGAAAAGGACATAGAGTACCAACCAAATGAATCTATATGGAATATAAAAAGTATTTAGCCTTAATAGAAAGCAAAAAGACAAATACATAATAAAATGACAAAGTATTGTTATCCAACTATCCACCAGCCAAACAAATGTTTACCTGCAGCCCTCAGTTTTATTGAGAATGTAGGCATTCTCATACTCAGTGAGAGAGTAAATTGCTAAATCCATTTTTGCGCTTCTACCCCAATAAGTTCCAAAAGCTGTATATTTTACATACTATATGACACAACCATCATTCTGATTGGAATTTGTCCTAAGAAAATAATCATGGTGGTGAGTACATGTTTATCTATGAGCATATTTGTTTAAAGATTTAACTTATTTGCAAATAATTATTTTGATTTTTAATCTAAGAATTAAGAAACATGGGCTATCTAATCAGAATAAAAACAAACATAGATTCCTGCTCACTACATACACAAAAATGTATTCCAGGAGGATTAAATACAAAAAAGATGAAAAATAAAAATATAATTTTGCAACAAAAATTAAGAAAAAAATTGAGAAAGTGTCTCACTAGATGGTCCAGGATGACCTCGACATTGTAATCCTTGTGCCTCAGACTTCATGCTGCTAAGATTACAAGAAAGCACCACCATGCCTGACTAAAATTGTATAATCTGGTAATAATGATTATCTTCTTAACAAGCAAGAAATTCCAAAAGTTATAAAAGAAAAATAGCCATAAAGACAAAATTAGCCTGGGAGAATATATTCATAATACCAGGATAAATGATGAGAAGATATCTTTAAGATCTCAAGAGATTACACACATGGAAAAAGAGAAAAGGTAAACAAACCAGTAAAAAGATGTCTAGACTACACAACCCAATATGTCTTTTGCTTTGAATTCATATTTATACATGAGAAAGCATAGATAGATATTTATTTTGGCATTGTTTGTAAGAACCAAAATACTGAAAACAGAAAATCATCAATAAGGAATAATCAAACGAACTGTGGTCCATCTATACCAAGAAAAACTTCACAGTAGTTAAAAAGAATGAGACTCATATATTGAAGGAGCTTCCAAAATATTGCTCAGAAAAGATATAAATGAAGGCTTCTAGTTTCATTCATTTTTTAAATATCACTAATTCTGGACTGGGTGTGGCTCAAGTAATAGAATGTTTGCCTAGGAAGCCTGAGGCCCTGAGTTCAATTCCCAGTATCACCCAAAAAAATCACTAATTATGGAGATCATGCAGCTGGGCAATATATTGTCTTCCACTAGCTTTGCTGTAGAGGAACTCTCTGATGTGTGAGTTATGATGTAACTATTGCACAGGTAACTTCAGAGACTTGAAGTCTACTTTTGCTGAAAACACTGATTTTTTTTTACAGTAATGGGATTTTGAACTCAGAACCTTGTGGTTGCTAGAGACATGTGCACAGCCCAACACTGGTTCTTCAGTTGGGTCTGCAGGTGTCCAAAACATATACATAGTCCAGAGAAGCCTCACCTGGGCATTGTGGAAAAGGGCACAGAACAAGTATGCCTGTAGGTGGAGAAACAGTGCACAGACCTTATCTTCTAACTAAACAAAGTCAAACTACAAGCATAGGGTTGTGAGGGCACCTGCAATCCTTTGATTTAGAGGCTGGTTGAAAGGCTCAGTGAACTGGGAGGGAGTATGGGCTAGGGGACAGTATGCTACACGTTCCAGGTTAGAAGCATTTACTTCTAAAACTCTGAAAACTATTCTTATGTATGTATCCAATCAAAATACATCTTGTATTAAAAGATGTATTAAAATTTCTGAGTCTCAGAATAAGAGAAGCTGGGCAGGGGAAACGAGGAATGAAAGAAAAATGTTATCTCAATTCTAGTCATCTTATATTAATACCCTGCTCTGGAATAATTTCATGTATGTATGAAAAAAAGACAAAATGAGTGACATAAGTGTACCTAGGAGGTAGATGCCTTAGGAACAAAGGTGAGAAAAAGAAATTTTTTCAGAGAAGATGTGCCACTGGCCACTAAGCTCTGAGAGAAACTATGTCTCCTCTTTGTCCAACAGGGAAAGCAAAATGAATGTCACAGGGAGTCGGTGTCTCTTTTAACCTCTCAGGGCAAAGACAAAAAAATGTGTGATGTGATGATAGAGGAAGAGTGAATTGAGAGGGCACAGATGACATGAGGGAAAGTTGGTGACTAGAGACCACTGATAGCATAGCCTTCCCATGAGGGACGACTAAATTGTTTTGGAGTACTTCTAGTTCTATGAACTCTTTGTCTTCTTGTCCTGGAGCCCATAAATGGAATGAAAGGAGTTAATAAGTGCTCTGAAATCCAGCATAACTTTGATAATAAAATGAGACAAAGGGGACTGGCAAAATGGCTCAAAAAGTAGAGTGCCTGCCTAGGAAATATGAGGCCCTGAGTTCAAACTCCAGTGTCACCAAAACAAATAAATAAATAAATTGTAACAAAGGTATTACAAGAAGGGAAAATCATAGGTAAATCTCTCTTCTGAAAATTTATGCAAAATTCTAAACAAGTATTAGCAAATCAAGGCCAGCAAGATAAACAAACACATG